TGATTTGACAACATTTTCACATTCATGAACCCTATTCTACCAACATTACACGAAATACCAAAATAATGAATCTAACACAAAACATCAAAGTTGGCCAAAAGTGCTCGAAATTGTAAAATTATTGGGTATGGTATGGTATGGTTTAATTTTAAAATGTCCAATTGCCGAAAATTGTAAAATGTCCAAATGCCCAAAATTGGCTTTCATTTTTTAAGTTTAATTGGGTATGGTTTAAAAAAAATTGTAATCAAATTAAATTATTAAAATTATTCAACCAATTTGACCCAAATCATTTAGGATTTTATTTTCTCTACATTTTTACATAATTTGTTCCTAAAAAAAATCATATAACATTATCAAAAAAATTTAACTTATTATAAATTTCTTAAACCCTAATTTTTGAAACCATAACCCTCATTTTTTATTTCACAATTTAAAACCCTAACCCTAATTGAAAAATGTTTTCACATTTATCAATTCAAAACCCTAATTCAAAACCAAAACCCTCATTTCTCATTTCACATTCAATCGAAAACCATAACCCTCATTTTCTCATTTGAAACATAATATTTTAATTTTTCTAAACTTCAGGTTCATTCAATAGATTTCACATTCAACAGATGCCATAAATGTAATCCTAATTTCTCAAATTTCACATATACATTAACTAGATTAAGAGAGTATTTTTAAATCAGATTAGGGTTTTAACCATAGAACAATTATGGCATTTTCACAATTCATTTAGGATGAATTTAGAGTATTTTTATGGCATATGTAACAAAAATCTGATTCAATTCGAAGTTAATGTTAAATGTTAGATTTAACCATAGAACGATTTAGAACCACATTCATGAATCCTATTCTACCAACATTATACCCACTTTCACAACCACAAAAAACACAATAAAGTAGATCAAGAGAGAGAGACAGAAGGCATACCAACGAGAGAGAGGACAGAGAGCAAAAAGGGAGCTCGTGCACAGCGAGAGAGAGAGAACAATAAGAGCGAGAGAGAGAGAGAGCAGTAAGAGCGAGAGAGACGAGGATGAGCGAGAGAGAGAGCAGGAGCGAACTGTGTTATCTAAGAAGCGTGATTGCAAATGACGGGGCTGGAGAGGGTATATATCAGTTCTAAAAACGTGGTTACAAACCACGAGTTCACTTAAAAAAATTGTATAAAAAGCGTAGTTCACAACCACGATTTCAACAAAAAAAATTTTGCCAAAAAAGCGTGGTTCGAAATAGCGAGATCAGAAGAAATTTTTTTTTCTCATAAAAGCGTGGTTTAGAACAGCGAGTTCAAAAGAAATTTTTTTTTTCATAAAAGCATAGTTTAGAACAGCGAGTTCAGAAGAAATTTTTTTTTGGATAAAAGCGTGGTTTAGAACAGCGAGTTCAAAAGAAATTTTTTTTTTCATAAAAGCATAGTTTAGAACAGCGAGTTCAGAAGAAATTTTTTTTTGGATAAAAGCGTGGTTTAGAACAGCGAGTTCAAAAGAAATTTTTTTTTTCATAAAAGCATAGTTTAGAACAGCGAGTTCAGAAGAAATTTTTTTTTGGATAAAAGCGTGGTTTAGAACAGCGAGTTCAAAAGAAATTTTTTTTTTCATAAAAGCATAGTTTAGATCATAAAATTAACAAATAATTAAATAAGTTAAAAACACAAGAAATGGCTTGTCAAAAAATTCTTATGTTTGGTTTGATTTTTAGAAATTAATTTTTAATTTTTAAAAAAATTTAATATTAATTTGGTTAAGAAATAAAAAATAAAAAATAATTTGTTTTTATATAATTTTATCTTTTGAGTGGTTAGAAATAATTTTTACAAATTAAATACATTTTTTCATATTTATTTTTATTAAATTAGTTTTTATTTTTTTTAAAAAAATTCTGAAATTTTTTTCTAAACAACAAATCAAACATGGTTCCAAAAACTTAATTTTTTTCCATCTAACATAATTCTTTTGTAAATTTTGTTGATTTATTAAAGTGATTTCAACAGGGGCAATATTGTCCATCAATTTATATTTTGGTGATGTTAGCTAACCATTCTTAATGTTTAGTTAACGGTAAGGATTAAATTTTTATGCTAATATAAATCTTATGAGCAAGATGTAATTTCTAAAATATCAGAGAGAATTTGTAATTTAACTAAATTTCAGGAAAAATATAGGTATTTTGCCCTATTTTAAAAGACAAGATTCCGTGCATAATATGGATTTTTTTGCTAGTATATATCTGTAACAAAGAAAATGAAAATGAAAAAAAGTTCCCATATTGATAAAAATTTCAAAAATTTTCTAATTAATGGACAACATTTGGAAGGTATTTCCATATTGATCATTAAATTTACAAAAATGAAAATAAAAAAGAAAACCGATGTGAACCTACAATGTGATGACACATAGCTTAGCTTTCAATTTGAAATCACTCTGGTTTATCTTATCTACTTTGTTACCACTAGTTGATATAAAAAAATTGTTTTCTTCTTGTCTACTTTGTTACCATCAGTTGATCCAAAGAAGTTATCCTTTTAAGGCATTCGAACCAGTGCCGCAATTGTTTGATTGTGTTTATTTTATTGTTTGGTTGCCGTCGATCTAGGCTTGGCATAATTTTTACTAATAGATACGCTCTTGAATATGGCTTTTGTTGAAGATATCGAAATCTTGCGAGTTTGTGTTTTCATAATTGGGTGACTAGAGAGATGCGCGCAAGTCTTATGGTCGATCAAAATGAGATATTTACATACATGCTATTTATGCGCACATTTTTTATCCCAAAAAAGGGTAAATTACACTTTGTCTCCTTAAAGTTTCACCCATTTCCACTTTGGCCCTTTAAGTTTAATTTTTCTCACTTTGACCCTTCATGTCTGCAATCATTCCCACTTTGGCCCTTTAAGTTTAATTTTTTCTACTTTAGCCTTTCATGTTTGCAATCCATCCCCCTTCCCACTTTATTTCTAGACTAACTTCCATCCAAAAAATCTAACAGAATCTGCCACATCACTAACACATCAGCTCCATGTGTGATGTAAAAAATTTACTAAATATGCAAAAAATAAAAAAATAGTAAACAAAAAAATTGGTTGGTCTTTAGTGAACTTTGTTTTCAAATTTATTCGTAAACATTATTACATTATAGATCCATCTAGATTAGATGCAGCTAAAAACATAAAAACAAATTTAACTAAAAAAATAAATTTTTTTACTAAAGACGGAAAAAAATAAAAATATACTGACTCAAATACTTATATTGTCAATTCTGAAATGAAAAATTTACTATCCATTTTTTTCGTTTTTAGTGAAATTTTTTTTCTTTTTTTAGTTAAATTTGTTTTTATTTTTGTAGTGCATCTAATCTAGATGCATCTATAATGTAATAATGTTTATGAATAAATTTGAAAAAAAAAGTTCACTAAAGATTAAAAAAAAAAATCAGTTTTTTTTATTTTTTTTATCTTTAGTGAATTTTTTACATCACATATGGAGTTGATGTGTTAGTGATGTGATAAATTCTGTTATTTTTTTTGGATGGAAATTAGTATAGGAGTAAAGTGGGAAGTATTGCAAATATGAAGTACCAAAGTGGGAAGGATTACAAACATGTAGGGCAAAAGTGAGAAAAATCAAACTTAAAGGGCTAAAGTGGGAAGTATTGTAAATATGAAAGACCAAAGTGAGAAAGATTGTAAACATAAAGAGTCAAAGTGAAAAATGGGTAAAACTTTAGGGGGACTAAGTGTAATTTATCCCAAAAAATACTAATAATTGAAATAATTAGATCAAATTAAAACAAAATCGTAAATTTAAGATCGACATGGAATTAATTAAAATTACAAGTATCAAAATATAATCTACCTGTAATTTACCCAAAAATAAATAAATAAATAAATAACCATAATTTATCTAAAAAATAAATATATAAATAAATAAAAAAATATTATAAATCTCAAATAATCTATTAAATTTTTTATTAAATTTCTAATATGTATATGAGTCTCACATAAATTCATGTGTATAACTTAACACATACATAAAAGATTTGGTAAAAAATTTAATAAATTATTTGACGTGGTAGCATAACTCAATAAAAATATAAAAAATGTTTGAGACTCCCATTTTTTTAAGACCCTATAATCCCTTTTAGATCTCTACCATTGATGTATGTATGAGACCCACTAATGTATATATAGAGCCTACACCGGCCTTGTTTCGTAGAGCTGTGGGAAAATACTTATACCTTATACCTTAACAACTTATAGCTTATAATTATGAATATAAACTGATTTCTGACTTATAAATTAAGCATCTTCTGCCCCACTCAAAGAATAAGTTGATTTCTGACTTACAAAAAGTTATAAGCTGCATTGTTAAGGTAAACCAAACACATCAAAATAGTTTAAATTAAGTTAAAAGTTAAAATAAGAAACTTTTAAACTGTACCAAATAGGCATATCATCAATAGTAGAGATTCAAAGAGAGTTGTGAAAATTTCTAAAAAATGAGATCTCAATGATTGTTATAAAAATATCAGAAATGCTTCGGACCATAGTGAAATCCACCCCAGTGGAGAGTCACGTGAGAGGTCACGTGACTTTGAGAGCCACGCGCCTCCTCTCTCTCTCTCTCCTTATTCAGAAAGAGATACAGATGCCTCATCTCTATCACATAGACAGAGATACAAATCTCCCCCCCAACAGCTACTCCCCTTCAAAGACAATCTCTCTCTCCAAATCAGCCTAAGTTCTCTCCAACTTTGTCTCCGCTGAGACCGGAGGTTCCCAAGCAGTGTCCTCATACCTGACTCGCGCTTCGGCTTTGTTCAACGCTTTGGTTCAGTTCCACAAAGAGCTCAAGAACTCCAAGTTCGATCACACAGAGAGTACAAACAATGAAAACCCAGTGAAGTATGAGCATAAATCTGAAGAAAACGAAGTGGGTTTGACCGTTGAAGGCTGTGTGGGAAGTCATAGTGCGAGAAAGAGGCATAAACAGAGCAGGAAAAAGAATGATAGTTTTGTGATTGAGGAGGTCGGGGAGGTGGTTGATTCGGCGTAGCAGGGTGGTTCGAAAAAGAATAGGAAAAAGAGGAGATTAATTTGAGGCCAAGATAGCAATGGGTTTGAATTCTTTGTTGGTAATTTGAAAAGGGTTTTGTTTTGTTATGGTAAATTTTTGATGTAATAGCAGGGCTTGTTGATTATCTCGATAGCTGTTTGTTGAAATGGAATTTCTTTTTCATGATTTATGATATGCGTTTTCTTCTAGATAATCATTAATGCAAATTGTTTGGTGGGTTTTGAATGGCAATCTCTAGATAAACTGCAATTTTGTAATGGATGAACTGCAAAATTTTGTAGATAAACTGCAATTTTTTTTTTTCACACAGGTGCGTGTATCACAACCATCACAGTGCAAGTATTCTTCACATTGCTAAAGCGGGGTGCTGGGGGTGGTAAAATGTGGGGGTCTGAATCGGAGCTGATTTGGGGGTCGTGGGGTTGCTTCCAAAAGGGGGTCTAAGTCTTTTTTGGGTAAAAATATACTACTTTTACCAAAATAAAAACAAAACGGTACACCAAGATGAAGAAGATGAAGAAGATAAGCCAACAGCACAGAGAGAGAGAGAGAGAGAGAGAGAGAGGGCAGAGATGCATGTTGAATGTGATCACATTCGGATAGCGGAGTCGCAGGCCACCATCGATTGAGGTTGGTCCTTCAGCTCTATGGGCGGCGCTACCATCGCTCTTCAATAAAAAGGTATTCCTTTTTATGTGTATATGAACTTACTATTATTGTGCTGAAACTAGTTTAGGACTTCTATTATTATTATTATAAATATAAAAAATTCAAATAACAAAAACTCAAGATGTTTGTGTTGCACTGCACTGAACTGAAAATTGGTTACTAATTTACCCTAAATTTCACTTCCAGTTTCACAAAGCCAGTTTTTTGCCGCTTCAGATTTTTTTTTACTGAATACCCAACCGTTTTCCCTACCAGAGTACGCTACTTCCACATACCAAAACTCAAAACTATAAATTCTACAAATTACAAAAATTAACAAATACTAAAAATTATAATTACAAAAGTTAAATTACCCCAATAATACAATTTATCCATCTTCAAAAAAATAAGAAATCAAAAAATGAAAAATTTGATACTCATTTGGATCAGTGAGAGAAAAAGGGTTCAATTCACTCTAGAGTGGAGCATATAATAATTAATTGGATAATGGTGATGTGAACTTTTTTGTGTCAAAATAGTAAGGCACCATTGAAGTGGTGTAGTTTAAAAGGGTAAACTACCAATAGATCCTAATAGTTGAATTTAATCTCCATGAAGTCCTATTCAAAATAAGTCCTATTACAATTATTGCTAAAAATAATTTTTTGTGGCTATTTTTTACATATGTCACTAAAAATTGACAATTGGAGATTTTTTTGTCATAGTTTTAATAAATTTTCTAAAATTTACAATTCGTGACGTTTTTCTGTGACGAATTTTTCAAAATGTTGTTGAAAGTTGAAAATTAGTAACATTTTTTTATTGTAACGATTTTTTTAAACTGTCGCTAAAACTTATAAGTGACATTTTTTGTGACAAAATTTTTAAACTGTCGCTGAAAATTAACAATTAGTGATATTTTTTAATAGTGTATGATGAAAAATACCATTAGTTATCATAGGACCTCTTGGACAATAAGTCTACTCAATATGACTTACACGTAAGTCCCCCTAGTTAAAATACATTTTTTCTTTTTCTTTTTTTGTATAGTTGTAAGCCAAAAAATAGCTTTGGCAAAGCTATTTTGACTTTGACCATTGGAGTCTATCTTATTTTTTTTTATATATAATTTATGGAAAATTAAAAGAGAATACTTTGTGCATTGAACAATAATGGCCCTATTTTGTAGAGCTTTTCTTAAGTTAAAAGTTGATAATCATAAAACATAAATTAAAAGCACCCTTTCCCCAACTTTCAAATAATATACTTTTTTCAGTTTATTTATGCTATTTATGTCTAATATACTATAAGTAGAAGCTACACCAAAAAGTTTGGCACAAATTACCAAATTAAAATAAGCTGTAGTCACCTCTTAGAAGTTGTACCAAACAGCCCCAATATTACTTTACGTATAAAGAGTTGAAAGATGGTTACTTCTTTATGACTTTATAGGCTTTTTAAGATTTGGTTAAAGTTGTAAAGTGTTGATGATGTAGGACAACGCGAGAATTTAGGGTTTCAAAAGGTGCACAAAAGGATAGGGTTTTGCCAATCAAAGATATGCATTTTGTGGCTATTATGAGACTGTTATGAGGCTGTGAACAATGATTCAGGAATAATAACTATGCTGAATTTATGCACAAATTAAAGAAGAAAGAATAAGAAAAAGTCTTAAGCATTACACCTAAATTATATAGGCATTATACCTAGGGTTAGGGTTGCATCGCACAAACCCAAAAAGGGCTTTGAAAGCACTGCAAATACTCTAAAATATCAACTCTATTAAATTAAAAGTATTGCACGACTTTATATAGACTTAGAGACTTCATTTTCCAACTAGAACTCGAAAATAAGAAATTACTAAACTTTTGACTTCCAAAACTAATTTATGGCCAAATAAGAAACATTAATATAATTCAATTAAATAACTTGACCCACAAGAAAACCCATGGGCAAGCCCCTATAGGCCATGTCAGCAAATATTACCCCTAACCTTAAAATCTTAGAAAACATAAAAATAATCATAAAATAAGACTCTAATGATACTATAAACATGATTATGTACTGTTTCTATTGATTTTTCTTTAAAATCATACTAATTTCCAAATATTGTCGCTTTTTAAAATTTACTCTTCCTTGAGCTTCTTAGACTCTACTACATTCTTCCCTGGTTGGAAAAAACTCAACCTTGAATTTTTAAATATTTAAGTATAAGGATTCACAAGCTTAAAACTTGCAACCATAGCTTGGTATGGAAAACTTTTATACTCCTTTCTTTTTTCTTTTTTCTTTTTCTTTTTCTTTTTTTTTTTTTTTTTTTTTTTTGTTTTTTGTTTTTGTGGTAGCAAGAAGGTTATTGATTGATTTTTATTCTTGGTTGTGTCATGTAACTTGGCTGGAATGACAAAATCTATTGGTGTGGAAAGCACATTGTTGAATTGATCCAAATGTATCTTCATAAAGCCTTCTTTCATTTTCCCAACAATAATGTCGATCCCTCTCTTCTTATCCTCTTTTCCTAACACAAGATCATATTTTGATTCAACTTTTGCCTATTCATGGATTTTGATTAAAGTAAATTCATTACGTGACTTTGTGGCCACTATATCGGTGACCTTAGATTGCAATATCATGACCTTTAAAGGCATAATAAGTTCTAGACCAGCAGCAGATGCATTAATTCTTCACTCCCTACAACTTATATAACATTTGAGTCTTCTATTTGGATTTCATCCTCTTCTCGAGGAATTTGGGGTGCTTTTGAATAATCAATAAGAGCCTTTTCACCCTCATTAACCTTGGCATTCATCACTTTACCTTGATTTCCATTCTCTTCCTCCACTTGTAACTCTTAAAGGCTTAGAGCTTTGATGCAACAATATTCGTTCCCTTTAATGATTCATCAAAGGACTTAGGCACCAAATTAGCCACCTCCAAGTATATATTAGATGCAGGACCAACAATAGAACTTTTGAATGATGTAGTTACCTTGACACAAATATCACTCAATTTCTTGCTTTAACGTTTTTGTGCTTCATGCAGTTTTGATTGGAGACTTCTCAATTTTCATAATCTGGTCATCCTTCATCTTGTGCAGATTTTGATTGTTCTCCTTCACTTGTAACTTCAATTGTGCAAGGTTATGATTTTCACCAATAGGTTTTGGCTTTGGTGTGACTTCTTGTGCGTGCTCCATGTTGTATCTTGATTTGGTCCATCAGGTCTAAGGCCTATTATTAACCATGGTCAGGGGAGGGCGATAGAGGGGTTGAAGATGACAGGGAAGGGTGACAGTGGTGGTGGGGACGAGGAGGGAGGGTGGAGGAAGGATTATGAGCTATAAAGCATGGTACCGGTACCATACGGATACATCAATACGATAAAATTTAATAAAGTAGAGCACGAGTACGGGTAGGGTTAGGTACATTTGTAAGAAATATTTATTTTTACTTTAGAATAACACAAAAAATAGTTAAATTGTTGAGATCCAACCTATAATTCATATTTAATGCCAAAAAGTAAAGGTATAAACTAAAATTAAATGTCATTATATTTAAATAACTTACAAATGTTAAGGGTCTGAAATGAATAGTAAATAACAAATACTTAGAGGCAAAACTATGCTAATGAGCCAATAATCTATGGTGACCGGAAAGTGAGTAGTCGGGTGAGGGCAGAGCAAGTGGTTTCAAGAAGGAATGTCGCGGTGCACGAACGGGCAACATATCCTCTCAAATCCCCAAAAGTTCTTCTTTGACCTTGGGCAATGGGTCCTATTTGTAGACCTTTCCTTGGTACTAGAATATACCAAGTGGCCAAATAATGTAGCGACATGTGTCATAGGATATTCTATCTTGAACCACCAAACTTGGTAGACATGCGTCCCTTGACATGTACTATCTGTTTGGCACAAAGCCTCAGCGAGTGCCACTGTGCTATCTGTTTGGCACGAGTCTCAACGTGTACCTTTTTTGGTGTGAACCTCAACGAGTGTCGTTTTGGTACGGACCGCAGGAGGTGCATCTGCTTCGGTGGCTCCTATCCACGATGGTACTTACTACTACATCCGCCTTCTCAGTTTGGTTTCCCAAGACATGCACTCTCAGGACTCATAACCTACTATCAACCATACTTGTGTCTACCCTAGCAACTCCTCCACCCTTAGCCACTTAACCACAAACTCCTCAGCTTCCTAGGGCGTGAGCCACAGCAAGAGTTGTGCCTCATACCAAGCCCAAGGGGGCTTCCTTGGACTTGCTTGTGCAACCAAGGCAAGCTCATGACTTGGGTAAATGAAAAGGGAGTCCCTTACTTTCAGGCAACCCTGCTCCCATCTTCGCAGGGTCGCCGCGGTATACTGGTACCTTCGGGTACCTGTTATCAGCTCCAACCAATAAGTATTGGGGCCTACTATCAGTGCCAAACTACTTATACTTCCGACCTGCTATTAGCCCTAGGTTGTCAATGCTTCGGGACTTGCTATTGGCGTCAAGCATTAACCTATCATTTGTATAGCAAAGGCCTCCCTTAAAGGCTACTATCACCTTGGGAAGTCTTTCCTCAGAAGATAGTTGTGGAGGCTAGAGTTGCTTCGGTTTTCCTTTCCTCAGCAAGTGTTCCCAATGCGGAGCCGCAATGTTCTGATGAGATGGCAACGCTGAGGTAGGTTGCCTCAACTACTATCCCGCAATGAGTGGAGCCTCAATAAGTTACCTTGGATTTGTTGCCTTACTTCTGAGGACCCATTTGGATCCATTTGGTCAGATCTGGTGTGAACTTCTAGTTGGCCCACTTCCCTTGGGCTTTGACCCATATTCATTTAATGACACTTATTCACCTAATAAAGGTGACTTCCATGATTAGGTTAACGCTTTAATTTTTGCCCCTCCACAGCAAACTATAGCTTAATTTTAAATTCATGCTAAGCATTAAATTAAACAAATAAATAAAGTCTAATGAAACTAATTTTACCTTTGTATTATAAAAAAATATTGTTTCAACTAATGTACGGTATGGCTTGGGTATATACTAGA